TAGCAAGGAACACAGAAATGATGAAGAACCTGACAGGGGAAAATTAAAAATCAATACAACTCAAGGGCAGAGGTCTGCGAAAGGTGGGACAGAGCAAGATGCAAATGGAAGGAAAGTTTTGAAGAAGTCATATTAACTAGAGTCAAATAAAAGCTTTTGCTCGAAGAAAAGGAAACTGGAAACAATGAGGATTGAGTCACTACTTTTTTAGACCACACTGTACACTTTCATAGAAGACTATATCCCTGCTTTAGAATTATATGGGATAGTTTATATGATTCTCCATTAAATGCCCTATATTTGTGGAGTAACTTCTATGCTGCCCTATTAAATTTCTGTGAAACCTTATTAATTTTACCCCTCTTCAATTTTATAGGATTTTTCCAGAAGGTAAAGTTTAAATATATGGGCTGAGATTTTCAAAAGCCACCTAAATATTTTTGAATGCCCAGTTCCCCCACAAAATTAAATCTACCAGAGAGAGACAAGTAGAACATAAGTTGCAATGCATCATTCCACTCTCTGCAAACTCAGTGTTTGAAGCTCCATAGGCTAGCTAGACTGGAAGGGAGTTAATTCAGTGGGAGCTCTACACAACCTCATCTCCCAGCCAACCAGCAGGGAAATGTCTACAAGAATTAAGGATGATCCTATTCCTAAGGGTACGTCTACACTTACCTCCGGGTTCGGCGGCAGGCAATAGATGTTCTGGGATTGATTTATCGCGTCTGGTCTAGACGCGATAAATCGATCCTGGAAGTGCTCGCCGTCGACGCTGGTACTCCATCTCGGCGAGAGGAGTACGTGGCATCGACGGGGGAGCCTCCCTGCCACATCTGGACCCACGGTAAGTTCGGACTAAGGTACTTCGAATTCAGCTACGTTATTAACGTAGCTGAATTTGCGTACCTTAGTCCGAAGTGGGGGGTTAGTGTGGACCAGGCCTAAGGCTCTTGGCCCCAACCCTCAGATGAAATCTTGGCCCTATTGAAATCAATGGGAGTTTTGCATTGATTTGAATGGAGCTAGGATTTCACCCCTTGACTTAAGACTTTACATTATTGCAAGAACTCTTCTGGAGAGCTTGCACTTTCCCCCTCTTTATATCCACCGTTAGCCAATGCTGTTAGACTTCAACTTTCATGAGAAGTAAAATTCAACCATAAAAGTAAAAGACAAGGAATTGAAAAGAAAACTGGCTTTACTAGCAAAAGGAAAACTGTGGCCAAAAGGACAACTGATTCTGAACCTTACAATGTCCACCAATCAATCAACCAATAAAATCTTTAAACTTGTCTGCCTGCAAATAACCTTGAGACACATGGGTCAAAACTGATCAGAGTTTCTTTCAAAAAGCATATTATTTCATTTCTCTTTACGCTTGCAAGAAGGTTCACATGCCATCTTAAATTTCTACATATTATGCAATCTTAAATCAAAGTGACTTTTGTGACAGTGCAATAAAATTATATGGCAAGACTGTCAGGATTGTGATAACATTAATATATAAGTCTGTTCCAGGTTGTTCAGTTAAAATACTTCAAGAAATGTCAAGTAATCATACATACTGAAGACAAATGTGGGAATAAATATTAGATGTGAACAAAACAGACAGCACAAAGTTGTTTTCTTAATATAAGAGGTTCTGTGTCAAGCTTTAAGGACGTAACAAATCGGCTGAAAATAAGGAAAGCTACAAAAAATAGTGTATTTTAGAAAAGTCATTTGATTACAATCTAAATTGTGTTTGCTAGTGTTATCAAAGTTTGATTTTGGGGCTCATTAGTAAAAGTAAAATTGACTGAATGTACTACATACATAAAATCAGATAGTACAGCAATTAATATATGTTGTTGATCTTCAATTATGGAAAATTTCAGTCTCATTATCCATAAAGCTTTTTAATGTGACAGTGTGAACAGACATTTACAGAACACTTTTTACTAAGCACTGGCACATCCTTTCAATATAGTTCTTAACACTCCCAAATCTGTGGCAGAGATCCTTAAAAAGCTGAGACTCAGACATAACATAATAGTGGAGGAAAAAGGATGAAATAATGTTTGATGTAGATTTGTATCATGTCTAAACTTTGTATGACCTCTAAATTTTCAAGTTAATTTTACATTAAATACACAACAATAACAATCCACTGTATACTATGAAAGTAACTTTGGGTCTAAAAGTGACCTACGTCATCATAAAGGTACAGTTGAGAGCTTGCTCTCACTGGCAGGTAACTTGGCTAGTAAAAGAAAACAGCATCTACAGTTTATTGGCATTAGCACAGTAAATCTTAGTTATCTAATTTTTTAAAATTAATAAATTGAGAACAATTAAACCAGCAACAATCTTGGGAGTGCTTCATGGCACATTCAATCAAGATTGTTTGAATATGTTCACGGAATTCTGTAGGCAATCCTAGGAAGATGCATCAGCCACTCTAAAGGAAAATGTAGTACTATTTTTAAGGAAAATGTACTTTCTTGCCTAGGTCACAAATTCTATCAGTTATATAAAGTAATTAAAACAAAACACTACTAGAAACTGAAAAAATCAGAATTAATCTATGACTGAATAGAAAGGGTTCTTGCTTAGTTGTTCATAAACTTTCCATTGGTTACCTGGTCTATTGACCTAAATATTTAAAATCTGTCAAATAAAACAGTGGAAAGGTAAATAGTAAGGGAAAAAGTTACTACCATACTCACATTTGGTTTCAAGCTGCTGCTTCTTATGACTTGTGTAGCAAAAGAAAGGGAGAAAATAATTCGATTAGCTTTCACAGAAATAAGCAGTCATTAAATCCAAAATAAACAGAATAGCGTGCCAGAGCTATTTGAGGGTCCCATCAGATTTTGGCTCTGCAGAAGAAGGCTGTTTTCCCTTAGACCTCATGACATGCAAATAGCTGGTTCCCTTGTCACCGAACCAAAATCATTCTTTGTCGTATTGTGTTTACAAACGATAGACAAAAACATACCACATAGGAGGTCCTTAAAGGAGCGTTTGAGAGACAGAGCTTCAAAGATCTAGCCAGAAAGAATTAGGAGCTTTAGTAAAAATCAGTATATGGAGGAGCGAAGGGGAAAGAGACTGAACATGTTCATCCTCAGATTTTTTGTGCCCATATTCTTTGAAAAGTGCATCCACGACATTTGATAAAAATCAGAACTAACATTAAAAACCCTGATTACACATTCTTTAGGGTGTTCTGCATGGGGTCTGTGGGTAGGGGTAGAAGGGAGAGGTTAAAATTCTACCCTCTTCCAATTTAGGGAAAGGCTTTGGGACTCCATACAACACCACTGCTTGCCCCTAGTCCAGTTTATAGACTGGAATGGTTGCTGCTGTCCCTCTAGGCAGGGATTCCTGGCGACTAGATACACATCAGTGGAAAGTGAATGGCTTCTCTCTGGACCTCTCCCAAAAGCTCATCTCAGTGCTGGCCTCATTAGAATTGGAGCAGAGGTAACCTCTCCAGTTTGGGCTATGGTCACTCTATTCAACACATGGGACTACAGAACGGTTTACTCATTGTACAGGGCCTTCTGCAGGCTTTCAGTGAATTATATCAGTGAAACCATAGGCTGAAATTAAGCATCTTAAAACAAGAATGGCTGGTTGTGGCTTGCGCCACTGCAGACCCAAGGAAATGCTGACTTTCCACCATTATATTCACTGGATTACACCACCAGGAACCAACATGTCAGGGCTGAATCAAGCCTTCCATGTCAAGTAGACAGAAGCCGTGTTTGTGTCATTGCCAAAAGAAAGAATTCTGTTACTCTGTTTAGATAAATATTACATTGGCTATTTGTACTAGGCAGTTGGAAGACTTTGGTAACATTTTCCAATTCCAGGCAATACATTTTCTAGATTATCTATGCCTAATTAATTTCAACCAGTTAAACTCTTTATTCATTCTCTTGCTCACTACTGCCAGGATTTTTTATCAGGTCCATTTGCCCTGTGACTGACTGCTTCATTAAATCTGTGAAAACACTTCGTGTCTCATCACCTCTGGTGAAATTAAGTTCTCTCCTATTAGTTATCTGAGTCATTAGCTTTATTTAGCTTGTCCTCTTGTGCTGATGCAGTCCATTTTAGATCAGCTTGGAGTACTGTAAAACAATGGTCAGGCACAACAGGGTGAAGTCATGAATAGTTAGGGCCCACTGGGAGAGCTCCAGTGTTCTAACCCCCTCTACATGCTTTTGGGGTTCAGCAGACTCCCCCTAGTCTGGCCACATGATCTCAGTGGGCAGTTCTGATGGGAGCAATGGTAGGGGCTCCCGGGTTAGGCCGGAGGAGAAGCACAATGGAGACATGAATGTGGGATCACAGAACATGCTGGGTGTCTGCAGGTATGGGATGGGAGGGCACCCAATGCCTGGGCTCCTCCAGCTGCTCACCCTTCAGCCACCAATTCTTCAACTGGTGGCTTTACAGATGAAGGTGTCACAAATATTCATATAGATGCCAACTTATTCCTGGATAATCTCGGTGTTGGGGCTGGATGAACTCCTAGGCATCCCGTATGGGGATGGAGTGGAGGTAGCCAATCTCATGCTGCCCTCTCCTTGTGGCAAGTGCTCAGTAAAGGAACTGGCTGATTTAGGCTCCAGATCCCAAAAGGTAAAACGGTGGGCATCCCACGGGCATCTCCTTACAAGATGTGTCTAAAATCCTGGGGGTCAAATGCGACTCAGGGGCTGGGACACTATGCTGGGGGGAGTGCCCCACTATTGTGGTGCTGGTGGGGGTTAAGGTCCCCTCTCGCCTCAACTCACAAAAGGGGGATGGATGCTAGTGGGAGGGTGGAGGTGCCCAGAAAACTGCAGATTGGCTCCCCTGTGGTGCAAACACCCCAATAATTGGCAAAGGACCCCTGGGGTGTGAGTGACTGCACTATGCTGTCCCCTGACAGGAAGCTTGGATGTAATTTGACTCAAAGTTGTGGCCTGGTTAAAGCCCATACCTCGTGGACTTGCTTTTTTCTGTGTGGTGAGTACATCAAATTACACAGCAGTATGTTCTTTTCAGGGAAGGTATGAAATATATGCTCACTTTCCCCTGCATGTTACCTTCTCCAAACTTCAAATGCAAGTGTTCTTCCCTGATTCTCGGAAGGAACTTGCAGAATAGATACTATGTCTGTATTACCTGCCAAATTTGCCTTAAGCATTTAAAGCAAAGTGAAAACCTTCACTAATAAGGAGTATGAAGTGGGGTTAATTAGAAGATAATATGGAGATGAAAAGTCAGCTGTCCTTTCCTCAGAACCCAAAATGAGCTATTGCCACACAGCCCTTCATAGCAACCTATTTCACGGGTGTAACAAGACCAACCTGATTTGACCTAAACTTCTACTTCTACGCTCACTAATATCAGCTTGGTATTTGTCATTAACATGACCCTCTTGAAGAGCTCTCTTTCCTCTTTCATTTTTCTCAGGTTAGTTCACTCAAATTTCTCTTTTTAACTAAGGTTTAAATCCCTGACAGTTCATAAAAATAATTTAAAAACCCATTTCACTTCTACATTGATCTTTGGCCTTTTTGATGACCATCACTTTTATGTTTCAGTTACAACCATCCTTTCCATGACAGGAGTAAACTTCCTTCAAAAATGACAGGTTTGAGAGTAGCAGCCACGTTAGTCTATATCCGCAAAAAGAACAGGAGTACTTGTGGCACCTTAGAGACTAGCAAATTTATTAGAGCATAAGCTTTCGTGGGCTACTGCCCACTTCTTCGGATGCATATAGT